CCCCAGGAAAGTGAATGCATGGTTGGTGGGGGCAGGGGATGGTGGTAAATCTCTGTGATGAGCGAATGGCGTCCTTGGGAGCACTGCCCCATGATTACCTTTTTCCTGCCACTGCCTGTGATCAGTGTTTTGTTGCTCTTATGCCGGTGTCATTTTGTCCTAAGGCACTGTCAATCTGTTAGGGGTAGTTTGGTCCCATGCAAATCTTCCCTTTTAGGAGAACTCTGGTGCATTGTTCAGCTTTGGCCCAGATTGTTGCTTTCTGGCCTCTTTGGGCTCTGGAATGGATTAAACCACCTTCTGGTGGTTCCAATACCTCCATATTCCTATATGACTTAGTGAGGGATTTGTGGGGTGTGTATCCCTAGGTAGTTCTTGAGAGTAAGTTTCATATTTTAACATGTGACCAGTTTCCCTCCCCACCCCCACCCCCACCTTTGTGGGTTTGCTTTTTCCATTGTGGTTTCCTGAACACACAGGTTATATCCCAATGCCTGGATGGTAACAAGAAGGGACATACATGGCTGTCACAGTATGGTTTGGGATGTGTGCCTTGGGAGCCCAAAGGCCTTGGTTCCTCTGATTGAGTTAGAATTAGAACCTCTGCCCAAATCGTCCCAGAATTTCTATTTTCTTTTGTGCCAGTACTGGGGCTTGAATTCATGGGAGCATTTATTCAAAATGGTATGGGTTAATTGCTTTTTTGTGTGTGTACTGAGTATTGAACCCACAATGTTGTACTTGCTAGGTAAGTGCTTTGCCACTGAGCCACATCTCAGCCCAGCATGGGTGAATTGCTGCATGGGAGACTGTCCTCTAGTTGCTGACATCAGAACCTAAGGTAGCAGATCACTCCAGCATTAGCCACCCAACATCAGCTCCAGCCATTATGACTACAGCATTAAATGGTGCAAGAAAGAAAATGTAAATATCAAACACTGTTCTTAGATGCTTCCTTGTGCCTGTTCTTTAATGTATACTAAAACACTTTCCCAGGGGCTCTTTTGAGCAAAAGAAGAGCCTTTTCCTTGGTTCTAACTAAAGGCAGGAGAAGCTGCTATTCAGGGCATATAGTATGTGTACTGTGTACACATTCCCATATTCTCCAAGATAAAGGTTTAAAATAGGTCTGGGAAAACAGCATGGTGATGGAGACACGGTAGACAATATCTACTGGGTGGTAGGATAGGGGGAAAGAAGCAAGGATGAAAAGCAAGATGAAGCTGACCTGGGGGCTGTCAACCTTGGTGATGTCCTAAAAGGGTTTCCCTGCCCCATGGTGTAAGAGGAGAGAAAGAAGAGCATTAATTTTAGCTCTATGCAATCATGTTTAGTCTTTACAACATGCAGGGTGGGAACAGCTTCAGTTTTACAGATGGGGAAAACTGAGGCTCAAAGAGGTGTTTACCTAAGGGCCTCTTTCATGGGAAGCTCCTCTCCTTGGTGTTGGCCACAGGGAGAATGGGAAGGCCTCTAGGTGGGGGTCACTATGAACAACTTTCCTCAGAGCCCTCCCCCGGCCAAGCTGGGGAGGCCAGGCTGTACACTGTTGGGGTTCTTTCTGCTATGGGTTCTTTGACATTTTTACACTGTTTCAGGGGTCAGTTTAATTACTTTCCACTTGAAGACTTGTGGAGCAAGGAAGTGAACCCTCCATGAGTATCTGTGTGGTCATTGGTCACTCTGGGAGAGATGGCTAACTGGGCACTGGCAGTGTTCTCTCTCTCTCTGTGCCTATACTGGGGCTTTTATTCAGTAGCTGAGTGTTGTCCCTTAGTTTTTTTTTGCTCAAAGCTGATGCTTTACCACTTGAACCACAGCTTCACTTCTGGCTTTTTGATGGTTAACTGGAGATAAGAGTCTCACAGACTTTCCTGCCTAGGATGGCTTTGAACCTTGATCCGCAGGAAATGCCTGAGTAGCTAGGATTACAAGTATGAGCCACTAGCTCCCAGCAAAGAAGACTCTGTTCTAATGCCTTCTTTCTAGGTCCTAGTGGGAGTGGGAGGTGGTGAGGGGTCACTAGTGGCGACCCATGTGTTTCCTCTGCGGGCCAGGCACTGACTTGGTTCTTTATGACCCTATTCCCTAGGAGGGTCCAAAGTAGTGCTGGGGTTCACTGCAAGACACTCCTGATGGGACCTTTTTGGGGTTCTTGAATACACAGTTGGCTGGCTTTCTTCCCGCCAGTGGCTGTCGATGACCACAGACCTTCTAGGCAGCAGATGTGCACTGGTGTCCCTTACTCCACACAGCCTAAGAAGCAGTGGGGTGGGCATGGAGCCAGGCTTTGCCCCTAGTCATTCACTTATTCCACTGGCATCCTCGGGCTCCATTGTCAGTGCCAGGTACTACAATTCCTGGGGCTCTGGGAAGTAACAATGGCGACAACTGTAACCCATAGTGTTTAGAGAGGCATAGTGTTCAGAGAGGCAGAGTGTGGTACACACTCATGGACTTGATTCCTAACTAAGGCCCTGCCCAGCTGGGTGCCCTTGGGCAGGTCACTAAGCCTCTGAACTCTGACCTCTTCCTTTGTAGAACGGGGATAGTGACTTATGAGCTTGCTCTGGCAGTGAAATGAGAACATGTTTGCAAAGGAAGTGGCAGATACCTGGCCCATGGTGGGTGATCAGCACCACTGTCAGCACCGTTGACTTTGTTCCTCTTCTCTGTTTATCTGATCATCTTAGAGCTCCTTGAGAGAAGCTCTTGGGCCAGAATCCTTTCCTGGCTACTCCTCTTCTTGATCCTCCCAAGTACCCACAATGGCTTTGGCTTTGTGTGTACCTGGGATGGGACATTTCCTATCAGGCTGAACTATGTTCCAAGCTCCATAGTCCATTATTGTTGCCATTAGCCACTGGTAGCCCATTAAATTCTAATGAATTAAGATTAAATAAAATCAGAAATTCCATTTCTTGGTCACTGTAGCTGCTTGTCAGATGCTCAGGAGCCACAAGTGACTGGTGCCTGGTACCCGGAACAGCACTAGGTGGAGCCTTGCCATCATGGCCAGATGTGTGGACACCAGACATTGGCTTCAGAACCATCCTTTCTATTGGCTGTCCTGATCTCAGGTCAGCAGAGATGACACAGAAACTTTTGCCTTTAAGTAACACAGAAACTGAGTTCTGGAACCATTTCCACGTTCCTGTTTGGGTGGCCTTGCTCACCTGGCCAGAGTGGTTGCTTTCCTGACAGTTCTTATCAGGCCAGGAATGGGAAGGCAGGGCTGGGATTGCCCAAACCCAAGTTGTTGTCTTCTGTACCCATCTCCAGCCCCTCCCACCCAGCAAGGAGTAAAGGAGTTATCTTCCTCATTCAAGGCTTTGGCCCAGACACTCTGACTCTGGACCATGTCCAGTCCCTCTCCCTCAGTGTCCCTGAATGCTCTGTCTACCCTGTTCCTTCTACCTGGTCACCTTCTCCCTCTCTCCCTTGACTTCCTTGACTGGTCCTCCAGAAAGCCTTTTCCCATCATCCCCTGGTGTGAGCGCAACTGACTTGGCAGGGATCTCCCTCAGACCCCATTTTGGGCACTCAGCCCGCTCCTCTGTGGGCTTGCCCTTGGACTGGCAGCAGACATTCTCTGTGCCAGCTAGGTTGTGTCAGGTCAGTGCAAGGGTGCTGGTCAGATGGCAAGGAACAGGCCACATGGCAGACTTGGCCAACTGGCTGGTAGAGAAGCTGATAGCCAGCCAGACTGTTCCATCTAGGCCTAGAGTTAGGGATAGAGGCAGCCTGGCTGGAGGATCAAGAAAGATTCCCCGGAAGAGCACTGAGGTGGAACAGGACCTTCACTGACAATGTTGTGTGGCAGGGCCCGTGGGGAGATCCAAGGGGGGAGAAGGTCTGTGTGGCTGGAACCGGGGACAAGGAGGATGCAGGTACACTGGACAAGAGGGAATTGAAATTTTGTGGAGAAGATGTTGAATTTGTTGTTGTTGATTTTGTTTGCAGTATGGGGCTTAAACTCAGGGCCTGGGCTCTGTCCCTGAGCTCTTTTGCTCAAGGCCAGCACTCTACCACTTTGAGCCACAGTGCCACTTCTGGTTTTCTGGTGGTTAAGTGGAGATAAGAGTCTCATGGATTTTCCTGCCTGGGCTGGCTTCAAATGGTGATCTTCAGATCTTAGCCTCATGAGTAGCCAGGATGACAGGCATGAGCTACCAGCACCTGGCAATATGTCTGAATTTTGATGTTCAGTGTTTGCTGGGCCACCATTTCCAGGGGACAGCCAGATCTAAATGATTCTCATGTTCCCACCTGCGGAGCCACCCATGAGGCAAGGGCTTGGGAGACGGCTGCAGAACAAATGTACAGTTGCCCAATGAGTCCCATGCATAAAGGGCTGAGCTTGATGGGGGTCAGAGAACTCTGCTACCCTTTACTACTGCCAATACTGAATCTTGGAGACATGGCAGGCCAGAGAGGATGAGCAGAGGGGGCAACAGCAGAACCTAAGACCGTCCTCAGTCCTGTATTCATTGCTGATACCCACCAGTCCAGCTATATAGGCTATTAATATTCTGCAGTATTTCTTCCGTGCCAGTCAACTCAAAGTGTTACAGGCTTGCCCCTGGGACTTCAGCAGATGTAGCCAGCCTGTAAAAGCAAAATCTGGTGGGTTGGAGGCGTGGCTCAGGTGGTAGAGCATCAGGCAATGAGTGAAAGCAAGTATCAGATAGTGAGTTCAAGTCCCAGTCTTGGACAAACAAACAAACAAACAAACAAAAAAACAAAATGAAAAAGATCTGGCTGGTGGTGTCCCCAGAACCCTGTGGCAGAAAGAACTGACCATTAGATGTTTGTGTGTCATGTGGGATGGCCTTGATTTGAAGCATCTGATGTCACTGAGTGGCTTATGGCTCTGACCAGTCAGGCAGGTTGGGACTGAAACTGTCTCCTAAGTGTGCCTCACTCTATGAGGGTTTAGGGCAGACTCCAGCACACAATTCTACTCTACTCACTTGCTTTCTCTTTTTCTGCAGGCAGCCATGAGCTCCAGCCACCCTGAGCCCAGTGCTCAAGCACCCCAGAGCCCCCGTGCCCAGCCTTTGTCCCAGAGCTCTTCCAGTCTGCTGTGTGAAGGCCGGGAGCAGAGGCCAGAACTCCGCAAGAGTGCCAGCAGTACTGTCTGGCAAGCCCAGCCGGGCAAGGCCAGCACACATTCCCAAGCCCCAGAGGAAGAAGGATGCCAGATGGAGAGCATGGAGCAGGCTCAGGCCTTTAGTCCCCAGTCACCGCCTGGTGCTGTGGGCCGCTGGCGGAGCAGCACTGTGGGCAACGTGTCCACTATGGGCACTGGTGATCTGTGTCGCCTGCGGGCTCCCAGCGTGGCTGCTGTGCAGAGGAGCCACTCTGACCTGGCCCGTAGCAGCCAGACCCGTGGTCATGGTGGAGCCCGGAAGGCCAGTCTCAGCTGTTCGGCTCTTGGAGGCTCACCTGTCCATGGGCCTCATCAGCCACCTGGTAGTGTTTCTGGCCAGGCTGACCAGACCAGTGTAGGTCTGGAAAAGGATGTGGCTCAAGAGGATGCGACTTCTAACTCCGCCTGGATGCTGGGCGAGAGTCAGGTGTGTGAGCCTTCCCAGGATCGGGAGGGTACAGCTGCCCACAGCAGCGGATCCCAAGTTGGGCCCAAAGCCTCTGGGCAGCCAGCTGCCACCTCCTGCCATGCTCTGTCCCCAGCTGCTCTGCTCGGAAGCATGAGGGAGACAGGGGCTCCTGGCTGTTGCCATGTCCTGCCTGCCACAGGGATCTTGGCCTTTCCCAAACTGGTGGCTTCTGTGAGTGAGTCCGGGCTGCAGGTTCAGCAGGGGTTGAAGTTCCACTGTAAGTTCCACTGTAAGTTGCCCGCGGGGCTCCCTGGGCACACTCACTGCTGTGCCCACCCGTGGGGGACCACAGGCTTAGCCACAGATCCAGGCTCCAGGACCAAAGATGTGTGGACCATGACCTCAGCCAGTGACTTGGCTCCCGGGTTGGCCTCAGCCCAGGATGCTGGTGTGCAGGCAGCTCCAGTGGCAACCAGCAAGGCTGTGGCCACCAGCCCATCCCTGGAAGCCCCTGTGTCCCTGCACATCTTCCCAGAGGTAACTCTGGGGTCCAGCCTGGAAGAGGCATCATCTCCAGTGCGGGATGTGAGGTGGGACTCCGAGGGCATGACGTGGGAAGTATATGGAGCCTCGGTGGACCCTGAGGTGCTCGGTGTGGCCATCCAGAAGCACCTGGAGATGCAGTTTGAACAGCTGCAGCGGGCGCCAGCTAGCGAGGACAGTCTGTCGGCCGAGGGCCGCAGGGGCCCCCTGCGTGCCGTCATGCAGTCCCTGAGACGCCCCAGCTGCTGTGGCTGCTCTGGAACAGCTCTCGAGTGAGGCACAAGGCCTGCAGGCTGGCCTGGCCCACAGACTGAGCCCTTGGGCAGGACCAAGGACCATGGAGGCCTGTGCCCCTTGGCCCCAGCACAGGTGGGCACGTCTCTCACCTGGGCACTGACCGCCTACAGAATGCAGGACTGAGCCTGGGGGTTCCAGCTCCACACAGCTGGGCTGGTGGGTTTTTCTTTTCTTTTCTTTCTTTCTTTTTTTTTTTTTTAAAGGGCTTGATTCCCAAGAGTTCCATGCTAGGCTCTGGACTTTGGGTTTCTGCACTGTGAATAAGTGAGATCCTCCGTGTTGTGTAAAATCGCTGTATTCAGTCTGCTCTCAGCACTTACTTTCCATGTTTCCCACTGCCTCCAGGACTTTATTGCCAAAGGCCTTCTGTGTGCCATATACTGTGCTTGTCACCTTACCTGGTTGAGTCTTTTATCTCGTCATCCCATTTTACAGCTGGAACCACAGACATTTGGCAGAGCTCTGTCTAGTGAGCCCCATGGTGGACTGCTTGTGCTGGTGGGCTAAGATTCAAAGCCAGTGCTAGCTGAGCCCAGCACATGCCCAGTGTGGGGTGGTGCAAGTTAGGGACAGGAAGGGTTTATGGAGCTCATGTTCTGTGGGTTCTGAGGTACAAAATTGAGGCTATTCCTGCCCTGGCCAACTTTGGGGAGTGGGGAGAGGGAGGTCGGGAGGAGTGGGGCTACCCAGAGGCATTGAGATACTTCTAAGATCCAGCTTTCCTGTGGACAGCAAGTGAATATCTGTCCCCAAATATACTGCAGGCCTGAAACTGTACCATTATCCCCTCATTCTTTTGGCTTAACCCTTCATTCCCAGTAGGTGAAGCCTGGCTGGGGACCCTGGGCTGTGGGCTCACATCACACTTGATAGGACAGGTCTGCCACAGAGGCCCTGCAGGGGCCAGGGAGAGGAGAGGAGGAGGAGGAAGGAGGGGACACAGGGCTGATGCTGCATGACTTCATTACTCAGGGCCTTCACAAGGCCTGGGAGGATGGGAGTGGGCTTTTTTTTTGTTGTTGTTTCTTTCCCTTTTTCTTTTGGTGCTGATCTAGGGGCTTGAAATAGGGCCTGGGTGCTATTCCTTAGCTTTTTGTTCAAGGTTAATACTCTACTTGAGCTTTAGTCCCATTTCTGGTTTATTTGGTGGTTTATTGGAGATAAGAGTCTCCTGGACTTCCCTGCCTGGGCTGGCTTCAAACTGTGATCCTCAGATCTCAGTCTCCTCAGTAGTTAGGATTACAGATGTGCATGTCAAGTTCCTGGGAGTCTTATATCTTTATCGGTTTTATTCCAAACTCCTGGATTAGAAGCCCCTAGGCTACTTCTTGTGGGGAACCAGAAGGCCAGGTAGAGTGAAGGACCTAGACTTGGCCCCATAACTGCATGGATGAATTTTCTAACAATTTGAGCGAGAAGATGAGGGGGCAGGGAGCAATGGGCCACTCCCTGGGAAGCCAGGACCTGAAATCTGGCTTCTCTTTCCCCTTCCCCAAGGATTTGGTGCTCAGTAAGGGACATGGCTTAATCTTTGAGGTGGGAGAGGCATTCTAGCAGACCAGAGAACAAGGTGAGAGAGAGAGGGACCCTCTAGACCAGAAGTTCCACTATGGGAGTTGTTACCCGGAAATGTGCTTTTCCCATGGGGGCCTGTCTTTTCCATTCTGGGACAGAGCAGACAGCTCACACTGGGCTATGGCATGTGAGTTCCCCCACCTTCCACCCCTGTGCCTGGCTCTGTCCAGGGCCAGCCTAGATTGGGGGATCGATGGAAAAGTACAAATAGCTGCCAGGATGTGGCTGGGGGTGGTGGTGGTGGTCAGGTTTCAATGTAGAGACCCTTTCGACTGCCAGTGGAAGAGAGATTGGGATAGAAGAGGCAGGAGCGGAGAGGATGTGGGTGGTGAGAGGTGAGGAGGGCTCCAGGGAGGGTCTCATTAAAAGATGAGGAATGGGCTGCTGGGGGCTGGGTTCACACATGAGTGGGCCCATCGTGGGGGGAGGGGTTCCATAAGGCTGAGGTCCTTCCAGATTTTGCAGGCAGAGGCTCAGGCCACTCTTGGGACAAGAGAAGGCTGATGGGCAGGCTGGGTGGGGGGTGGTGTGGAAGAGTGAGAGGACCACATGCCAAAGGGCTTGGCTGGCATCAGTGAAACCCATTTCACAAAGAGACTTTCTCCTTCCTCATATGCAGATCCCGTGAGTTCATTGTTTAGCTGATAAATGTCAATCCAACCACCAGGTTGCAACTGGTACTGGGATGTAGGCTGGGCTGGGCCACCCACCCACCACCTGATTATGACCCAGATTGAAATGAGCAGGGTGTGTCCAGGCTGGAGCCCCAGAGCACCTGCTAGGTAAATCACCTGCTGGGGCTGGCATACCCCTGCCATCAGGCTGCCTGAAGCAATGAACTGCAGCTTAAATTCTGCATTGGAGACTCACCCTTGCTCCTCTTGCTGAGCCCCTTTATGGGTCAGGTTGAGGCCCTCAGTGGGTCAGGACTGTGCAGCAAGGCCATGACTTCCTTTGTAGGTCTTTCCCCCTCATAATCTAGCTTTCTGGCCAGACCCTCTGGGTCCCTTTCAGGACCCATTCTGGGAGGTGTTGGGTTTTGTTGTGTCTATGTTTGTTTTATTTCAAATTCAAAATAAATACAAGTTAGTTAGATTAGAGCCTTGTCAGGTCCCAATGAGGACTGGGTATTAGTCCTGTCTGGTCTTGTTTATTTCGCTCTGATAGATCCTGTCTTTTAGAACATAAACCGCAGAGCTCCAAACCCTGGCAGGAATTCCCTCTTACCTTCTGTGGCTCCTTCCTTGCGTCTACTGGCTTTTCTGTGGTTGTCTGTGGGCTACCTACTCTGTGGCCAGGACATGGGTTCACATCTCCTGTCCTGCCATTGCCCTGCTAAAGAAACATTGCTCCAAAGGAAGGAGAACTCTGTGGGAACTCCTGCTGGCCACTGGTCACAGTGCTGGGGATAGTAAAAAGAAGACAGTGGTCCTTTTCCATTAGGATGTCACCTCCATGTCAGCTGGTTTGGGTCTCTGTCCCCTGAATATGCTACATCATTCTTTGACAGGGGCTAAAATCTGTCATTGACAGCGTGAGATCTCAGGTAAGTCATTAACCTTGAGGATCCTTAAGCTTACTCAGCTGTACAATGGGATGGCTGTAGGGCTTCCCCCTACATTGCCTGTTGGGAGGATCAAATGGTATAACCAACACAGAGCTAGAGCACACACACTGGTTGTTGGTGGTGTTTGGTGCCCCTGCCACAGGAAGGGCCAGCTTGGCTGTCATCATTTCCTTACAACTTCCTCCTTCAGACTGGCCTGGTGATATACACCTGAAATCCCAGCTACTTGAGAAGCAAAGGCAGAAGGTTCACAAGTTTAAGGCTAGCCAACCAAAGTTAAGAAGACTATGCCAAAAACAAAATATGAAGAAAAGGGCTAAGGGTATGGCTCAGTGGCAGAGCTCTTATTTAACACGCATGATGTCCTCAGTTCAACTACCAATACTGGGAAAAAAGTTCCCATTCACAGCCCCTTCTCAGGTTCTTCAGCTTGTGTGTGTGTGTGTGTGTGTGTGTGTGTGTGTGTGTGTGTGTGTGTGTGTGTGTGTGTGTCCTGGAGCTTGAACTACAGTACTGGGAAAAAAGTTCCCATTCATTGTCCCTTCTTCAGCCTGTGTGAGAGAGAGAGAGAAAGAGAGAGAGACAGAAAGAGAGAGAGAGAGACAGAGAGAGAGGGTCCTAGGTTTGAACTCAGGGCCTGGACACTGTCCCTGAGCTTTTTTTGCCCAAGACTAATGCTCTACCACTTGAGCCACAGCTTGTTTTTTTTTCTTTGTGGTTAATTGGAGATAAGAGTCTTGTGGATTTTAATGCCTGGGCTGGTTTTGAACCATGATCCTCAGATCACAGCCTCCTGAATAGCAAAGATTACAGGCCTATGATGCCCAGATAAGATTCTTCGGCTTTGTACCCTGCTTGGTACATGTATTCTCTAGCCAGAGACCTCTGAGAATATGGTCACCACATTCAAGAAGGCCACCTTATCACTAAATCTGGTGTTAGACTCCCCAAAAGCGTATGCCAGTACAGGGACCATGATGAGTATTTGGAGAGAAAAACAGGGAGAGGCAGAAATAAACCAAGGACAGTCCAGATCCCACAAGGGAGCCTGGCCCCCAAATTTCACCTCAAAGTTAAGGTCACTAGGGGCTGAAGGACAAGACTCCAGGGCTTTCAGTTTTAGGGCATGCAGCTTGGGAAGCTCCAGGAGTCCTGGGTGGTCTCTGTAAGGAATTATAGGAGTTATAGATAGATCATCTCAAACAACGGTACATACTGAAATTGCTGGAAGGGGTCACAGGCATCTGGAGGTGTGCCTACTCATGGTACATTTATGTAGAAAGCAGCCCATCACCCAGGTTCACATGGAGTTTGTGGCCCACAAAACACTTAGAACTTCCCTTCATGAATGCATTGCTTCAAAGCCATTCTGTTCATTTGTATTCACACCGCCTGACTTTATCATATTGGCCTGGCCCAGTTTTGTCATCTGAAGTGATGACTAGTCCTTTATCAGTTTTCATCTAACTTGTTAGGCAGGGCAGGGCCAGTACGGATGCTGGAGTATACCACTGGGGCACCCTGTAGTTCAGGATGCTCCTCATGTATCTAAATCTACACAGTCATCATGAACCATCTTGCTCAAGGCAAATTTGATGTTAAAATCTAGATCATTAGCATCAATTACACTGTCCTCACCGACAGTGCAGTCCAACCACTCTACCTGCTTCTGAAGTTTGAGATCAAACTTCGAAGATTTGTAGACACTACCTTCTTGTCCTTTTGGGGAACAAGGAGCAGCCCTACCTTTAGCATCCTTCCTCTTTAGCCTCCAGTTTCAAAGGCTGTTGCCAGTAAACAAGGCCTCTTCTGCAATCCCTGGGAGGAGACAGTGAAGACCAGGCAGGCCAGGCTCCTCAGCCATTCTCTAGTAGTTTCTTCATTGGGCCTTCTGTTCTGCTCATACTTTTTGGTGGGAGTGCTTCTAAATCTAGGTGGAACTCTTAGAAGGAAGCGGGGACCATGTTGACCTAAAGGACTGCAAGAATACAGGGCAAGTTCTATTGCCAAGGTTTTAGAGAGGTAATAAGCAGGGAAGGAGTCTGGGGGAAAGCTGGTGTTTGTTAAAAATCAGCAGGGTGGGCTGGGAAGGTGGCTCAGTGGTAGAGCACTTGCCTTGCATGCATGAGGCCCTGGGTTTGATTCCTCAGCATCACATAAGCATAGAAAGTCAAAAGTGGCGCTGTGGCTCAAGTGGTAGAGTGCTAGCCTTCAGCTGCAGAG